GTATTTGCAAAATAAAATCATGGCACTTTGCCTTTTGGGCAAAATAGCTATTGCGGTTACAACCGATAACAATGCAGTGCTACTTTGCGAGTAAATTTTTGAATAACGGAGAGCTACAGTAGTCTCCCCCAACTTGAGCAGTGAACCACCTTTCTGTCCATCTTTAAGGCTATATTTTTATCACAAGACCTCTCAATGATTCTCCCAGTTAAGGACAATGCATTATTTCTTCCTTCAACTTTATGCATTTAATCCCCTATTCCATGCGCTATTGAGAACCTCAACTTTTCCTTTCTCCTTTTTGACTACCAACCGCTTCCGTGCTTGTTCATTGGCATCTGTGGAGTGCATGAGGCAGATTTCAGAGGGGTTGCTGTGGTCATCAAAGCAGTGGGCACGACATTTGAACATGCAACAAAGTACCACAATACCAACCTACTTATACTTCTGTACACGATTTTCTTTAAGTAAGTGATTAGTATTATTAAAATAGTTTGAGGCGTTAAATACGACGTTTTAGGGTTTTTGGGTTAAGAAATTTTCATGCAAATGCACACATCATTGACGTCGCTAAAACACGATTTATTACGCCTGCGTCGCTTGCAGAAGTTGGATCACTGGCAATGCCAATGGGCAAAAAATGTCGCGATAACTCGCAGTAAACATCGAAGTGCAGCCTCAGGCTGATTCCTCACTATGTCCTGGAGGCATGCAATGTTCCTGGGTAATTATATATTGAAGAATATATGGAAGAAGGGAGAAAGCGTTGGTACACTCATTACATTCATTCAAAATTGAATGCGCGTGTGTTTGCGTCCGATGACGCGGACCTCGCTCCACGAACATCGTGGTGTCACTGTCCTCGTCCATTTCATGTCTCATTTTCATGCTCTCCTCTGGGCTGGAATTATTAAATCCAACTATGCATCACGGCTTTGTGTTAAATAAAAACACAGCGTTTAGGATAGAAGTTGGTTGCAGGTCATCACTTGATATTTTCGTAATGTGATTCGAATAAACGAAATTCGCTGACGCTCGAGAAATACACCATCGTTCGGATCCAGGAGGCAAGGCTACCGAGCCATTGTCTGGTGTGAAGATTTTTTCTAATGCATTAAATGGCCGATTGGAGTGATGGCTGCAGAATCAAATTTAAACCTGTTCACCTAAGGTGGGAAGAAATTTCGTTTTTTAAATCATTTGACCTGAGTAAAAGGTTGTCGCGTCGATCTCAATGACGACACGTAAATATCGATGCGGAACTAAATGCCACTCTAACTACTTTTGTTAATGTTACCACTACATCAGATGTATGAACCTTAAATCAAACTATGAAGGGAAAAATATTTGCAGGTCATTCGAAAAATCCACCATCATGTTCCCCATGCCTCTGAAACGAAATCTTACCCACTTTCTTGCAGTGACAGATCGGCAGGGAGGTTTAGTTTACGACAGGAAGTTGAATGTGCTCCCAGTGGAGCAGACATTGTCTTCGCATGGTCAACCATGTTGGCTAATACTTTGCAACCTCATTTTAATGAGTGAACGGTTTGAAAGAAACTTTAAAGTAACATGGTAGTATAATAATGTGGAGAATTTGTGTGTAATCGTCAATTCGCCAGCAAGTGGATGTGCTAATTGGCATTCATGTTCTGTAAGAACGACTTCATCGGTCCAAATTGGGGGCGATTCGATCACCATTAAAACGCCATCACACTTTCATCATGTGCAAGTTTTTAAATGGAAGCTCATCCCATGGGTGCAACTCAAGCCTAAAAACAATCACTAGTGATTATGTTATGTGAGCTAACATAGTGACAATAATTCCTTTGCGCCTCCTATTGTGTGCCGCCAAATTTACTCACTCACGAGTGGTTGGTACCCGAGTCACCGACTTCTTGTAAATACTGTTATTCTATTGCATCCTTTTCACTCACCATCTCACCATTATTCTCTTATAAAAATATTGTGCTCTCATGATTTTAATTGAGATCACTCTACATTTATGTGCCAGCGCAGCTCATTGTGACCCTTTGTGTACGTATGAAATTACGAGCTTTTTATTGTTGTCTGAATTTGCTGCATTCATTATACCTGGAATAGCATATGCGTCTAAAGGTCTATCAAATTTCATTAGGTTAGCATTAGTATGGCATGGTCTTCCATGACATTTGACGAAATTCGAAATCACCCGATACAAACGCAAAACGGCTATTTGAATGCGCACAAAACTTTACTCGCGATGTATAATACGACAGCCGTGCAGATCGAAGGCGGAGATGCTCCATGCAAAATAGGGTTATTATTGTCTTATTTTAACTAAAACTCGTTATCAAACAACTACCCCATAAGAGTATTTGGATACTAGGTTTGACCTCCCCTTTGTCAATTAAAATGAAATGTTTCTTACGTACGCGCGCTACGTGCATACATTCTGTGTAGGCTGATGCGAGGTAGAAGTAGGGGGAATTACGGATTTTCCTCAGGATTTAGGCATCACATAAAACATACTTTTCAACTGCAAGCAAAGAATCAAAAGTTTTAAGTCAAGCAACGATTGTATTTTTGCTTGTCTTTTTAAGCCATATTGGTGACTTTTTTCGATTGACTTTCAAACTACCTCTTTGCATGTTATTACTGTCAAAAGAATCGCAAATTGGTAGCGCCATGATTCGATGGGAAGGAGTCAACTCTTTCCGCTCTCCCCAAATGCACCATATACACCCTACTGAAATAAATGAGACTAGTAAGGTTTGATGTACTAAGGATATCACTGCTAATCAGTGAGCAGACTGGGAAAATACAAGTCACATATGTAATCCATCCCTTTAGTTTCACTCATCATATCAATTCTGCCGCTGCCTTAGGAATCCCTATGCAGTCAAAGTACAACAGCTTAAAAGTTCTTAAAATGCCAAGAACACGCAAATTGATGAAAATCAATGATAATGCCTGTTTACCAGGGTAGCATGTCACAAGCAAAAAAAATTGTGCGCGGCTGTTGTCAAGCTTAAAATCTGATATGACTGTGCAGGGTTGATTTCGTTTATGTGGTATCCTACCTTGATTGACATCTTTTTGTTCCTTCCTTCGAATTCACCAATAAGCTGCTTTGTTTGGAGGAAGTTGCCATCATCGGTTTGCTTTATTAACTTATTCCACCTCAGGCTTTTAGCCTTTTATCACAGATCCGATTACCACAAAATTCCTCCTTGAATCAATAAAATTATGTCACTCCACGCAACTGGGTGTGGCAGCTGTGTATAACAGGCAGCTGCTCACATATGCTATTACGGCACATAGGAACCTTCCTGATTGTCTTTTTGTTATTTAGGTTTGCGCTTAAGACTTGTTGTAGACGACTATTATATTTTGTTGGGTAATCCGGCATTCACAGATTGCGCAATCGCTTGTAGCACAAGCAACTGTGCATAAAATTCGAAGGCGGCACACCACGTAGCCGTATGGTTTTCCACTAAAATCCTATCAAAATGATGTCTACGCCAGGCATCACTGCCCCTATGATCAATCCCTGGCAATAAGAACCACGATTACCCTTTGCTACCTCGCATTTCGGCTCAGAACTACCACGGAGGCGAAACAGCTTTGCCACAGACACCCACATCACACAGGATTCACATGCGCAAAGTTACTAATTCCGATATAAATCTCAATGGGGATGCGTATCTCATATGCTGTTAGGTTTCATATTCTTAAACGCATTGAATGGCGGCTCGAATTCAAAAAATCACCGCCCCCCCCC